AATCGTATAGTCGTATTCTAAAACAGTATACGCAGAAATACGCTATAATAAAAATTGTATAACAATAATACTATTATTATTTACTATATTATAAGCTGTCGTGTTTTTCTGCCGCCACAGACGATCAGAAGACAGAAATAACTATGTGGCATAATTTTCCTACATTAAATTAACACAATAGCCAACAATAAATTATGAAATACTGAGTCAATAATTATAGTATAGTTATAAATAATTTATATTATTTATAATTTATTATAATACATTATAAGGCCTTAACATAATATTGTCTGGGTTTCCCTAAAAGCCGTCGACTGAAAAATGTGCTCCCTACCAACCCACCACCAACCATACTCTATTGGATTAATATACCTAATCTAGATTGGTAAAATATAATCAAGCTGTGATCAGTTTGATTAGTGTGGTGGGTGGGACACACATGAAGTTAGCCCCTCATTAAGAAAATAGTTTCAACTTATAAACGATGAAGTTACACAAACTCTTAAAAAATTAGGTCGCAAATCATTTGGAAAATGTGTTATGAAGTGGAGAGGCTATAACTAAATACGTCATAATTACGTATTCATTCCAGTGTAAATATTATCATTGATTGCAAATACTATAGTACTTGTCAGGCAACCAGACGCTAAATCGTACGCCACGCAATGTTTGGCGATTGGCAAGTAGGTTCCTACGCCAATATTTTATGTCATTATAAATAATTATTATAAATACAGGGATTAAAACCGATATTCGATACTGATTTTTAATACCGGTTAAAACCGTTAAAAACCGAAATCGAAACGGAAAAAATGAATACCGGTATCCGAAACCGAAACCGAAACCGAAATCGGAAAAAATCGATACCGGTATCCGAAACCGAAACCGAAATCGAAAAAAGTCAATACCGGTATCCGAAACCGAAACCGAAATCGGAAAAAATCGATACCGGTATCCAAAACCGAAACCGAAATCGGAAAAAATTGATACCGGTATCCGAAACCGAAACCGAAATCGGAAAAAATCAAAACCGGTATCCGAAACCGAAACCGAAATCGGAGAAAATCAAAACCGGTATCCGAAACCGAAACCGAAATCGGAAAAAATCAAAACCGGTATCCGAAACCGAAACCGAAACCGGAAAAATTTTTTTCGGTTTCAAGCCCTGAATTATACATTATACATCATACATCGTACAATAGTCAACAACAAATAAAATAATATATAAATTATAATTTAGCATTATGTGAAAGAAATATTAACCACTTGGCTGTTTCACCAGCCAGACAATTTCTTTTTGAAGTTATAATGTTTCCTGCAGTGGAAAAAGCTCTTTCAGATGGAGTAAATGTTGACGGTATACACAAATATTTTTTGGCTAGTTTTGAATTCATTGGGTATCTTAAAGGGTAGTAATTGGGTAGTTAAATACATATTTTGTGAGTAATATTAAAGATTTTAGATAAATATAAAAAAATTGTTTTCAAATCGTGTTATAATAATTTGTATCATAATCCGGATTTGAATCATAATCCGGATTAGTATATTAAATCCGGATTAAACGGATTGTAACATCTGTCTCAATCCGTATCGGTAATCCGGATATGGATTGATCCGGATTTTGTGCTCAGCACTAGTAAATACGTATATGTTTAACCACGTTTATTATACAATCTACATTCTTCTGCATTTACGGTATTTTTGCTAAGGAAACAAAAAATTCGCCTTAAAATAACAAATAGGTACATTGATATAATAAACTCATTTTTCAAAATTTGTAGCTTACAGCCTTTTGGCTTAGGAGGGCAGAGTTCCTTTGACAGAATCGGCGAGTGGGTCCCCATGTATCCTTGAGCTGTTGGAAAAGTTATTATTCTAGCAGTTAGTGAAGCTGCCGCCTCGTAATGGCAATTCTGCAATTCAATTTGTGCATCTTGGAACCGCAATACGGCCTACATTTTACTACCCACTCAATGTTTTGGAGTTAGAATATAACTCATAAAAAAAAATACTAAATGAATTTCTAATAATAAATAAATTAATAAATATTATTTTGTTTTGTGCTCAAAATTATCCAAAGATAATATTATATACCTATATTAATAATAATTAATATATTATGTAATAATTAAAAGGTTAAATTTACCTTTAAAATCATACAAGTCAATGTTTATAAGTTACACTTATGTCTGATGTACTTCAAAATAAGGATGTAATAAAATTAAGTATTTTTTAATTATAATATACTTACCATTATATGAAACACATGTATTTAAAAGTTCTATAACATTTTAAAACAGAATTATATAAAACAATGCTTGACTAATTACCATAAATTGGTTAGTTGAATAGTTTACTAATCTCTTATGATCCAACCTGGGCAACTAAATCTTACTAAACAAATGATATTTTTAAGATAGGTACTAATATACCCTAATGCCAAACTCCCCCCTTCACTGTATCCCTTATTTCATTTTAGATTTTACCAAGAACCATTTTATTTCTAGAGCCGGTTTCATCACATATAACTAACTAAGTTATGTGTTTCGTTTTATAATTTTATTTTCAGCCAAGTACAATTTACCATTATGATTCAGTATCTACAATGATTTTTTGGTCTACCACTCTCCTATTCTACCTAACATTTCGTGGTCATTTTATTGACCCAAAGGCCAAAATTGTCAATAGTCTTTTTCTTATGAATTAATTTTTATATGATTTCCTCCATCTCCAAGTTTTCCACAAGAATAATATTTTTTTGTACTTATATAAAATTGTGAAAATCATATCTGTTCTATGTTACTATTTGGTTTCTAATTAAAAATATTACTTTGACAGAGATCTGAAAAAAAAAATAATTTTTAAGTCAATCTTGAAAATACTACAAATTAGGTAAACTAGGTATTAAAAATATTTAACCATCCGTCTGATTATTTTGTATAAGTCATTCAATTTGAGACAATTTCTAAACAACTATCTTCAATAATTAAGTTCTACACCAATGTAAATAAAATTATTTAAGTTATTTCTGGTAATATTAATTGATTGTTGCTTGACGAAACAAAAATCAAATGGAGATATTTCAAACAAATGTTAGGAGCTTACATATTACTGTAATCCACCATATATACTAGATTGAGTTTATACAAATGTAACATCAGAATATTTAATACTTTTTAAAGCATCTCTAAAGCATAACAATTGTATTAACTATATAATATTATGTTAAACTGAAAAGTAAGAAATGGTGTATGATCTGTTTATCTCTATAGATTATCATAAAATTACAATAATTGTTTTTCGGATTTCAATTAATATTATAGTATTATAAAACTCATTGCGGTTAAATTTCCACAAATATTATAATCTTTGTAAATAAATACATTAATCCTTACTATTTAATTTTTCTATATTTGGTTCAGTAGCTGAAGGCATAATCCAAACTGAAATTACTATAAATGTAAGTTTTATTAAATATTGCTTATTAAAAATCATTTTGATTTAATATTTTAATATGTGAAAATAATAAAAATAATGTGAGCTTCGATAACAAATGAAATAGAATACTACTTCTCGATTTATTTTATAAGCAATTATGTTAGTAGGTAACTTATAGTATAATTACTATAATTTACCAAGAGAATAATATTATTCACTATTAGTTAGTGAATGCCATATGTAATATTTTTCATATCAACTGAGTAAATAGTTCGTTTGCAAAATTAAATATGAGAAGATACTCTATAGGCACCCAGAACACTTGTTTTCAATTTATCCGTATTTCGACTTCAAAATATAGCTAAAAATGTTCAAATAATTTTGCTAGTTATATTCAGTGCCCCATTTAAACATTTTGTGGTCCAGTGCAAAAAAAAATTGGCTTCCCTAAGCCTCGGTGAAAAAAATTGCTCCCCTCTAAGGGGCCTACCCAATAACCTACCCACGGAATAAATATGGGAGATAGATCCTCATTAACCTTTTAGATTTTGAGCACAGAAAAGAATATTTGTTTTACAATGTGTGCTTTTTTAAAAATATTGTTTAGTAATTGCTAGTTGCTATAGTAATTGATCCTCTCTCCACAAAGATACATTTGAATTTATGTCACTTAAGCCTTGCTTATAATTCATCATATAAGTTGTTTTTTTTAACATATTTAAGTAGGTTGTAGGTACTTCTGGATTAATTAAAATAAAATTATATAAAACTATGCAAATTAATATTAATCAAAAAAATGTCAAACAGCATAATACTATATATATAATACCATTATACTAAATTATATTATTGTTAACTTCTCCAGGGGAAATAACGTCAAAAATCTAGCTATACTGTTATTAAAATAATTAAAATTATAACATTTTAGTAACTCACAAGTAAACATATTTCTGGCCACAACATTTTGGCGCCAATAAAATACTGGTGCCTGGGGCAGTTGTACCCAGGGCACCCCCCCCTAAATGCGGGCCCTAGTTATATTAGGTACATTAGATAGTTAAATACAAAATACTAATCAGAAGCATGTTGATTGTTGAAATACATAATATTATTATAATAATATCATACAATTATACAGTGTTTGTCAACCTCCTTATCTCTAGTCCTATATCATAGATTAACATAGATAATAAAGATAGTATTATATCAGTATCATTGTATGCTTCATATACTTGATACGATAGGGTCTGGTACGAAACATCGACTTTAAGAATTAAAGCATACATTAAATGGTGAACCTTTTCTTGTTAATGAATCTGAAATTGGAAATGATAAGATACTTTTATTCACAACATTATCGAACCTCCGTAAGCTCGAATTGGCAAAATACTGGATAATGGATGGAACATTTAAAACAGTACCAACAATATTCCACCAGTTATATTCAGTTCATGCTCCAGTTTTGCATGATACAAATTCAAGAATATTACCTCTGGTTTTTGCTCTTTTGAGTAGTAAGTCTAAACAATGTTATATTCGTATATTTCAAGACCTTCAAGACTATGCATCAGAAAATAGTTTTACAGTCTGACTATATTTTAACTGATTTTGAACAAGCAGCTATTTGTGCAGTTAAACAAGAGTTCACAACTAGTCAAAGTCAAGTATGTCTCTTTCATTTGGGACAAAGTATGTGGCGAAAAGTTCAGTCCGTTGGTCTTTCTATTAAGTATGGTGAAGACGAAGAATTTAGTTTGCTAGTCCGTCATTTGCTTGCTCTTGCTTTTTTACCACCAGAAGAAATTCTATCAGCATTTGCTGAAATTAAAGGACAACTAGAAATAGAATCTGGCACGAAACATCTTTTAATGTGGGTTGAGGATAACTATGTTCTTGGTCTAGTTCGAAAAACACTACGGAATGGCAACATTATTCGAGGATTACCGTTATTTTCACCAGAATTGTGGTCTGTTTTTAATCAGAATATTCCAAGAACGCAAAATAATATTGAAGCCTGGCATCGATGTTGGGAGTGTTTTTTTGGCTTTTGGTGAATCACACGTAGGAGTATACCACTTAAGAGGACGTGTCACGGAAAAAAATCACTCGAAAAACTCCTTTAAAAACATGTTAGCGCGTTCCAATAACATGGGTTACTGAGTGGTTTTATCATAAAAACACCTATGAACAAAATTGTAGAGGAGAATTTCATCTGGCTCCGTAAGAAGCCCGATTTTTGAAATTTTCATTTCTAAGTCCTAAAATTAACTTCCGGAAAATTAAAAAAAGGTGTATTATTAATCACGATATATTTCATGATTTTTTAAAGATATCAAAAATCGGGCTTCTTAAAATCAACCAGATAAAATTGTCCTCTACAATTTTGTTCATAGGTATTTTTACGATTAAACCACTCAGTAACCCATATTATTGGAACGCGCAAAGTAAGTTTTATAAGAAAACTGCAGAAAATTACGCTCTGCAAGTGTTGCGACGGTAGGCAGTGGCAGCGTTCGATACTATAGTATAGCCATCCTAAGAACGCTACTGGGCGGCGACCAAAATTCAACCGATCTCGCGCATTCCCACCACTAAACCTTCCCGAACGCTGGCCGCCGTCAACTCTGGCCGCCGCCACTGTCGCCGCCATCGCTACTGTCGTTTCCACTACCACCGACGGCGCCGCCGTCCTTGACACGGTGTCAGTGTTTGTATACAGCGCGTACTATAGTGTTCACATAATTTTACGTGTTTGCATACCTACATACACATTTTCGTTTTTGCGTGCATACAGTTTTTTTACAGTTTTTTTGTGTATAAGTATTTTATTGTTTTTTTATACTAACTACACAATACAACATGGACGTCGCACATGTTTCTCCTGCCAAAAAAAACCCACAAGGAAAAGTAAGTGGTTGTATACTATTTTTCTATTGCAAATTCTTAATTTTTAATTATATATTTTTTGTATATTTTTTTCTTTAGTTTATTGGTACTGGTCAAAAGAAAATTATCATAAATGTCTATAAAGATAAAGTCAAACATCAGCTTGAAAATCCGGAGATGCGCCAATTGTCCTACAGAGAAATGATCGTTGCAGTTTCAAAAACCACCGGTATTGGGCAACGTACGGTACAAACCACATTAGCAGAGTATAAGAAAGAAGGCACAGTGTCATCACCCAACAAAAAAAAAGTGAAACCTACAATACTTGAAAAAGTGGACGAGTTTGATAAAAATGCCATACGGCAAAAAATTCATGATTTTTGGAGGAGACGTGAGGTGCCAACAGTACCAAAAATGTTAATTGCCATTAATGAAGACGAAACATTACCAGACCTGAAACGTTCGTCTTTCCAGAAAATATTGAAAGATTTGCAATTTGAGTATGTGAAAAAAAATCGGAACAGTGCTCTTATAGAAAGAGAAGATCTAATATCTTGGCGCCGAAAATATTTGTTTAAAATAAGGCATTATCGAGCACAGAACAGGCCTATATATTATTTGGACGAGACGTGGGTCAACGCAGGTGAGACGCATAACAGAGCATGGGTTGATACCACCGTCACATCACAAAGAGATGCATTCCTCAAAGGCCTCACCACAGGACAAAAGGAACCCTCCGGCAAAGGTAAGCGTCTCATTGTATTACACATCGGTTCGTCAGACGGTTTTGTGCCGGGGGGCCTTTTGTGTTTTGAATCCAAAACCAACTCTACGGACTACCACGATGAGATGAATGGCGATACGTTTTATGAATGGTTTGTTAAAACTCTGCCATTACTCAAAGAAAACGCCATAATTGTGTTGGATAATGCCTCATACCACTCCGTGAAGAAACATAGGATACCAGTAAAGTCGTGGAGAAAACAAGCAATTATTGATTGGCTCGAAAGCAAAGGTGTGATCGTTGAACATCCTACTGTAAAAAACGATTTAATGGAAAAAGTCAACGAAATAAAAAATCAGTACGACCAATACGTGATTGATGAGTACGCAAAAGAAAATAAAAAAATCATATTGAGATTACCGCCATACCACTGCGAGCTAAATCCGATCGAGCTCGCGTGGTCGTCTGTAAAAAGTTATGTCAGAACGCATAACAACACTTTCAAATTAAAAGACGTGCTCGAGTTATTAAAGAAAGGCGTGGAACACGTAACTCCGGAAATGTGGAAAAATTTTATCGAACATGTGAAAAAGGTGGAAGACAAGTTTTGGGACTTGGAAAACGCAACCGATTCAGTGATGGACGAACAACCCGAAGAAGATCGTCATGTTCTAACGATAGGAACAGGTGATACCAGTTCTTCTGATTCTGATTCTGATTAATTTATTTATATTTTAACTATTTTTTTTTTTTTTTATATTAATTAAATTTGTTTTTTATTTAAATTTTTTTTTTTACTTAATGATTATTATAAAGTGTATTATGTTATGTAAAATTATTCATTTTGTCGATATACATAAACAAATGCATAAATAAAAAAATTGATATTACATACATATTATTTGCATTGTTGTTGAATACATAATAAATGCCCCGGTCGCCAGGTATTATTTTTTCGTGTGTATTATTTGAGCCGGTGTATACAAACCACCGGCTGCCGCCCGGTGGCGGCGGCTGTGATATTAGCTGCCTGTCGCACGTAGTGAGTGGGGGAATTTACGGCGGCGACTAGATGGTAGAGTGGGAGAAAATTGGGTACGAAACTGCGGAGCTCGGTCATTTGGATGCGCGAACGAGTAGCGTTCTTAGGATGGCTATAGTATAGCTGCGCATACCACTACCCCGCGCGCATTAACGGCGGTACCGCACCATGGTCAAAACAGGTTCTCTATCGCAGCCGACCGCCCGTACATAGTTTATAAATAACCAGATAAGAAAATGATTAGGTATTATATTTGTGACAAATAATAATTAATTTGGTTCGATTTTATATTTTATATTCGTATCCGAATTTTATACAAATAAAAACTATGCTTTTGTTCTTCAAGTAGGTAATAGCGTAATACAGCTTAATGAAGCGGTTTACAATAAAAATAAATATTATAAAAATTGTAGAGGAGAACTTTTTTAACAATCGTAAGGAATCCGATTTTTGATATCGTATTCCAATCGCCCAATATCGCATGGTAAACTAACAATTTTTTTTTTTACTTTTTATCGATTAATTATTTAACTCATCAATAAAAATATAAAAATCGGGCTTATTTCGATTGTTAAAAAAATTTTTCTCTCCAACTTTTATAATAGGTATTTTTACTGTAAACTGCTTCAATAAGCCGTATTTACTTGAATTACGAAACCATATTTTGTTCACTAGGCCGCCCTCTTCTTATCCGAATTTTACACAAATAAAAACTACTTTTGTTCTTCAATTAATACGGTTTATTGAAGAGGTTTATATTAAAAATACCTATTATAAAAGTGGTAAAGGAGAATTTTTTTAACAATCGTAATAAATCCGATTTTTGATATCGTATTCCAACCGTCCAATATCGCATGGTAAATTAACATTTTAGATTCTGAGTGAAACGATGAATGTATTGATTTTACAATGATGTGTGTTTTTATATTTTTTTTAATATTTTTTAATTTTTATTTTTGTGTCTGTGTACACGATAAGTAGTCGAAATAATGCTTCGATTTTCGGCTTCTGTATCTTGTTCGATTGGAAAGTGAATATCGTTGGTGCATTGAAGAGGTCAAAATTTAAAATTCACAGTACTTTTCAAAAGCGCCAAGAAAAACAAAAGAAAAATTAAGGAAAAACGAGAATTTTTACGCAAAATCGATTTTTCAGAAAATTGAATTTGGTTTTTGGTGTAACTTTAAAACAAATGACCGTAGATACATGAAATTTTCACTGGTTGTTTATATTTGCATTTTCTATACACGATAACATTTTCAAAATATTTTGATTTATTTTGAACTGTTTAGGGACATTTTCATTTTCCATTTTTTTTTAGTTTTTTTTCTAGAAATATCAATAAAATTTTATTTGTTGGTTAAAAAAACTTGAAAATTTAATAGAAGGCTCCAAGTATATTGTTTCAAAGGCAGATGAAAAATATTAAAAATCGTTAGCCACAGTTTTTTTTTATAAGCAATTAAAGTAAAAAAATTGACAAAATATGAAAAAATCACGAAAATTAGCAAATTATTTTGAGTTAAGAATTCGTAAAATAATGTGAGATTCGATAACAAATGAAATATAATACTACTTCTCGATTTATTTTATAAGCAATATGTTAGTAGGTAACTTATAGTATAATTACTATAATTTACCAAGAGAATAATATTATTCACTATTAGTTAGTGAATGCCATACGTACAATTTTTCATATCAACTGAGTAAATAGTTCGTTTGCAAAATTAAATATGAGAAGATACTCTATAGGCACCAAGAACACTTGTTTTCAATTTATCCGTATTTCGACTTCAAAATATAGCTAAAAATGTTCAAATAATTTTGCTAGTTATATTCAGTGCCGCATTTAAACATTTTGTGCCCCGGTGTAAAAAAAAATTGGCTTCCCTAAGCCTCGGTGAAAAAAATTGCTCCCCCCTAAGGGGCCTACCCAATAACCTACCCACGGAAAATAATATGGAGATAGATCCTCATTAACCTTTTAGATTTTGAGCACAGAAAAGAATATTTGTTTTACAATGTGTGCTTTTTTAAAAATATTGTTTAGTAATTGCTAGTTGCTATAGTAATATTGATCCTCTCTCCACAAAGATGCATTTGAATTTATGTCAATTTATGTTCCTTGCTTATAATTCATCATATAAGTTGTTTTTTTTAACATATTTAAGTAGGTTGTAGGTACTTCTGGATTAATTAAAATAAAATTATATAAAACTATGCAAATTAATATTAATCAAAAAAATGTCAAACATCATAACGCACCCCTGAAAGAATAGTGACACAACTCGAAAAATACGTTTTTCGAGATATTACCATCAAAATTTGCAGAATTTCATCCTTTATATTTTGGTGTGGTTGACATTTTTGATATATATAATATTAAAGACCGTATGAGCTCAAATGTCTTTATTTCTGCTTAAAATAAAATATAGTTTCCAGCTGGAATATCGACACTTCTCAGATGTAACTTTATTCTGGCCTGGCTTACACAATATTTTTCTAGCAAGAATAATGTCATATCTCAAAAGTAATAATTTCACACGAGAAAGATTATTTTACTTTAATTAATATAATAATATTACCAGTGGCTATTTTTAAGAATATCTAGTAGTGTTATCAGTATTATAATCGTTAATTATTTATAGAATACTATGATAAAATTAGTACCAATAACTGACTTGTATCGTGGTGTTATTATTATCGTAGATAAATATATGGATGTAAATGTTCTTAAATGTTATTTTTGTTATCGATTCTACATTCTACTATCGTCTTGCACTCTTCCAGTACGAAATTCTTTACCAAGGATAGAGAGCCATTATTTGCGATCACAAACCACAAGAGAATTTATAGATGGTGGGAAATCTCTAGCTGATATTCATAGAGATTATGTAAATTTATGCAAGGAAAATAATCTTTGTTTTGCAAAAATTGATATTTACTCTAGAATTTTTAATAGAGAATTTAATATTTCATTTTTCATACCTAAAAAAGACCAATGTTCACATTGTGAAGCTTATAAAAATGCTGATGAAGTGCAAAAGGTCATGTTGGATGAAAATTATCAGTTACATTTACACGAAAAAGAACTTAGTCGAACAGAGAAAGAAAAAGATAAAATATTTGCATCAAATACTTCAAATAAAACAACTGTTTTATGTTATGCCCTTCAAGCTGTATTACCAACTCCAAGAGGAGAAGTATCAGTCTTTTATTATAAATCTAAATTGTCAACATTTAATTTTACAATTTCCAATATTGTAAAGTCATCAACATATTGTTATGTATGGCATGAAGGTGAGGCTCACCGTGGTGTAAATGAAATAGGCTCTTGTGTATTAAGATATCTGTCAACAGAATGTGATGATCAAAATGTTATATTTTATTCTGATAATTGTGCTGGCCAAAACAAAAATAAATTTATGATAAGCTTATATTTATAAGCCATTGCAAAACTTAATATAATTTCAATAACTCATAAGTTCTTAGTTGTAGGGCATACACAAAATGAGGGGGATAGTGCCCATTCTGTAATCGGTGAATCTGTAATCATCTGAACGGTGGGCGTGGTCTATCTCAAATGAGGTAACCGTCGAGCGGCGGCATACGCGTATACCGCATAGAGTAATAATATATAGAGAAGCCATACCGTATATACACTATAATACTGATTCGAAGCAAGCAAAAGGGCGAGCATCAGTGTCACCACAAGCTCATTATAAAATTAACGTATAACACTTGTTTTACTTCTTCATAGTCAGTACCACTAATTAATGTCTTATCATTGAGTAATAATAATACCGGTAAGATAATAATGATAATAATATTTTCTGTATCACCAGTTTACAGTTTAACAAACATAAATCAATACTGGGAATTTTGTTTAGTCATAAATGGTTACTATGTTCCACGACGTTTTGCTGACTTCACGTGAATAGAACTATAGCCACCCCCTGGTATACCGTGATATAATGGAAAATAATAAATGATAAATAATAATTATTACAAACCTTTTCTATTAGTGAATAGAATAGATAAGACTATTTATAGTTGATCAAAATATCAAATTAATATGATTTATAATCAATAACATAGTACAATAGTAGTATTATTACTATTATTAATTATAATATATAATATAATATACATACAGTTATTTTGTGATATCTTATTATTTAAATTCCTAAAATGAATAGGGTCAGTTTAAATGAAATTTATACATTTTGTAATGGAACACCAATTACAAAGAACATGGTTGAAGGAGAAAATATTTTAAATTCTGGGCATTTAATTCACTGTGGGTATACTAACAAAGATGATGCTAATATCAATTTGTTTGCTATGTGTCTTCAAACATCTGCATTACGAGACAAACCCCATGAAGTTTATGGAACTTTGAGCTTTCAAAATGAGATTACATGGATTGTATCCCAAATTGTTTGTTCTTGTAAAGCAGGTGCCAGTCAGACTTGTAAACATATTGTTGCTACATTACTTCATATTAACAGGTTATTTAATAATTTATTTAGTAGGTAGTTATGTGTTAAAGATACTTTGTCTGCTACTATTCTAATTTTAGATCTGGCATAAATATTTTGGAAGAAGTTTCACAGACTGACTTAAAATGCACATGGAATCAAAAAAAGCCAGCTTTACAGTTGTATGCACCTAAACCATTAAAGGAACATTCTTATTTTAATAAAAGAAAATACCTAATACAATAGCTCCATCTGATGAAATATTCATGAAAATTCAGCATATATTATTGAATAAAAATAAAGAATCAGCAATAGCAATTTGCAATAGCAAATTTATATAATCATCTCGTTTGAAGTGTAAAGAACAAACAGACATAGAATCTGTAACTTTTTTTCCCATTTTCAGAACATTGATCCATTTTTTTCTTCTTACAGCATCAGTAATTTTAGGAAATGTAGCAAATTTAATTTCTGGATTTCTCCTAGCCAGTGAAGTACACCCATAAACACAACAAAATCGGTTGGAATTGTTTTTACGGGGAGTAAATGTTGCACCAACTTCCATTTTGTAACGTATTGTATGAACTAAATCGTAAATCAAATATCACTATAATAATATGAAACGTCGAAAGTCGAAACGATGCGATACGCAGTTCATAAATCGTATTAAAATAGGTAGTCTACTCTATAGTCTGTGATAGTATAATACTATAGTCTATAATATAAATAATATAATTTACAATCTGAAATCAAGATAATATTGTAATATAATATTGTGCACTGTAATAATTACTCTACAAATTGTCAAATTTGCTATTTGTAGACTGTCGTCGATGGTTACCTCGTTTGAGTAGTTACAAAAAAAACCACTAGAGCGCGTACCATACCTGAGCAAACGCCAATAATATAGTACATAATAATAGTATTATTGTTATACAATTTTTATTATAGCTTATTTCTGCGTATACTGTTTTAGAATACGACTATACGATTAATCCATTTACCAAAATAATATATAATATATAAATATAATAATTATTATGTTGCGTATAATAATAATATTATATTATGCGTCTAATAATTTATATACCCTGTGAAATTACCTATGCAAACATACGGGTGCCCGCAGACGAAGACTACTGCACCAGTGCAGCTAGACCTACTTACATAATAATAATATTATAATATTATATTATTATATTATAAAATATTAATTATAATAATATAATATATTTAATTTAGGCACCATTAATCATTATTAATATCAATTGTATTACTGCAGAACTCAGAAAGTATACATAATAATATAAATATCTATATAGGTAGGTACTTTCGAGTTAATATTTTAGAATCCAGTAAAAAACTAAGTAAAACTAAGTAAAAAAAAAGAAGGCATAGCACATGACCTAGGCTACAGGTCTAATAAATGGACCAAATTAATAATTTTTAATAATATTATTATAAACGCGCCATGGAAACGGCAATATAAATATTATAAACTATTAAAATAAATAATAATATTTATAAGATAATTTATAAAAACTAATACTATACCAACAAAAATACTATGTCAACTCCATGTAAAAAAAATTTAATTTAATTTAATTCTTCGTTTTGCGCACGGAGTAAACAATTACCCCAGACGTATTAATACAGTATATTAATAATTTAATATGATTTATAAAAGACTAATGAACTTTAAATTAGCATAGTTATTTTATATTTAAGGATAACTTAACTTTAACTAGTTAAAAAAATTGGTTAACTTGCCCAGCTTTGCCTTCATCCACATGATGTTATAATAAATAATTATATCTTATAAGTTATAATATTATATTTAATATTGATCGCATTGTATGATAGAAGGATAGAACAAATTTACATAATATACACGATATTTATTATTTTCTACCATATGCATTATAAATTATATTATTCATAGCTTTTAAACGGAAATTCAACTATAGCCTATAGGTTTATTTTAAATGCGTAGAACTTTTTAAATGTTAGATATTAATGTTATAATTTTTCGACTTCCGTTTCGGATATCATGTTATTTCTTAAGATTTCGTCTTAAGTTTCAAAAAACGGTATTATTTTTTCCGATTTCGATTTCGGTTTTAGATATCGGTATTTATGTTTTCCGATTTCGATTTCGGTTTTGGATATCGGTATTTATGTTTTCCGATTTCGGTTTCGGTTTCGGATAACGGTATTTATTTTTTCCGATTTCGGTTTCGGTTTCGGAAACCGGTATTGATTTTTTCCGTTTTCGTTTTCGGTTTCAGATACCGGTATCGATTTTTTCCGATTTCGGTTTCGGTTTTTAACGGTTCAAACCGGTATTCAAAACCGGTATCGAAAATCGGTTTCAAGCCCTGGTTATGATAAAAAAAAGAAATAGGTACTCAAAAAACCATTTATAACAATTAACAGAAATCATTCAATGTAGACAATCTGATCCACAACCAGGTAAGTGGTACATATTATAAATTGAATATAATTAACCAAATAAAATTACAGATGATAGATAATATAAAAATACATACTATTGTAATTACATGAAAAATATAAAAATTATAATATTATAATATTTTAGTTTATTTACCATCAATAGAACAAACTACATAGTATATAATATACATACATTAGTTCCACTTAAATAAATAATAGGTACAAATAATACAACATAAAATATTATACAGTACTTATGTAATAATTTGTAATACAACTTATTTGTTTTACATGTCTATAATATATAATTATAAAGAATAATAATTAAAGTATTAAATACATTTTAAAAAAACTTCTTAGTTTCGAATTACAACCAATATACCTACAATTAATAATTGTTTATAAAACTATTTAATTATTTTTGTGTAGCACAGGGACGATATCCGAGTTCTATATTATTTTCTAAGGATAACTTTTTTTTATTATTTTTAAAATACTTAAAAATACAATATATTAATATTGCAAGTATTAATAAAACTAAGTTTTTGTTTGCATAAACGAATTCATATGTCTTTTCTATAGTAAGGGAGGTTATAAATTTGTCCTGTTGGTCTAGTTGTAAGTTTATTCGATTAAAAGCGTCTTTATTAAATTTGAGATTTTTTATTTCATTTAAGCGAATTGGTTTCGGGTATGATTCGTTGATAGGCATATTACAACAAGAATCATTTAAAAGAGATAGTTCTATTGGTATAATGACAGGAAGTGATGATTCTAACTATTGTTATGTTCTAAGAACACCTTTCGTAGTAATAGCTGTACATCCAGATTTCAAGTATAACTTTCCGGAATTTTTAATTTTAATTTTAAAGTTTATAGTTTTCTTATTATACAAACTATTGTTATGGTTGTTGGCTTTTCACTCACAAAATACCAATTATTCTTAAAATATGACGCATACCACATTTCTTTTTTGAACTCTGTAATATATGTTTCACATTGTGGTGGTTTAGTTACAGAGTTCCTTAGTAATTCTGTTACACAAGTCGGATCCGACTCACCGTTGTGTATCATTTCATTAAAAATGCAAACGAATATATTAGCTACTTCTATACAGTTATTAGGATTAGGCAATAAAAAATATTTTGAATCCATTTCGTCCTCTAATAAATGCATAGGACTTTCAATCATGTGAAGAAATTGGCCGTATTCATTAATCGGAACGTAAATTGGTAAAATATGATACAAGTTGAAATTGGTTTCAATACATAAAGGCATTTTTAATGAAAATATTAATTTATCATTAATATAATGTAGTTGGACGCTCATTATTTTAAAAATGTTATGAATATTTTCTATATCAAATTTTACGGGCAATTTCAAATCATCGGGAATAATATGTTCAATACTGTTTATTTCCGATAACAATTGATATGGCGTTATTACAAAAGCATCGACCTTATTAATTTGAGCGTTGGATATCATCCTCTGTAACCTAGTTATAAACATATTCAACTCGAATATATTACTTTCAATTAAATGTATTAATTCAATATCAAAAATTTCTTTTTTTTCGGCAGATAATTCATTTTCAAAGTTATTTAAATTGTTTTCATATTATTATCAAATACAATTTTATTTTCATTAAATGACGTAACTGTATCATTAAAATTACTAATTGTACTTCTCAAAATCGATATTTGATCTTGAACAATTCTTAACACTTGACCTTCATCTTTCTCCATTTTATTTATTGAGCTATCGTATCTTCGAACATCATTGGCATCGGCAATACCAAACATCCATTTAAGTGCCGAACCTCCGTATTCGAAAGATCTTTTAACTCTTTTATTATACTCAGCTAATTGTTTAATTACGCCAATTTCGTTTTCTAACTCAATTATACATGCTTTTTAAGCCGAAGTGTAGATATTTTTGATATATTACTGATATTAACGTACATTAACGATATTAACATAGACTTATTAATTTCTAAACTATTATATAAATACTTTAAATCAAAATACGTATTAATAGTCCAACTACTTTTATATAACTTAGCTTTACCAACAACTTCATATTGTAAACCCGGGCTGTCATTGGTAGATATCAATTTGTAAAGCTCGTCGTCTTCATTTTTAATTGAAGTTTCCAGAGTAGAATTTGGAAAGGTGAGAAGTAGCGGTATCATATAATAGCAGATCATTGTCCAAAAATTCCATTTTGAAATGAACAGCAGGCAACAGCTTATCTAATTAAATAGTTAAAATATTTTATTTACAAATAGAAAAGTTAAATAAAGGTCCGTTTAAACAAAATATGTATATTTCTTACCTTTCTAAAAATATCAGTTTTGTTAGCTTCTGTGTTCAATGTTGTTTCTCGAATAAAATAAAATTTAAAGTATATATGAAAAATTGAAAAATCTGAAAGCAATCACTCGAAAGCGTTTGAAAAAATAAAATAAATTGACGAAATGGCGTCCTACTCAAGACTGCCACACTCGCGTTAAAATGTGCTAACCCTCGGGCAGTCGGGCTGATAAAACATGTATGGGCGTTGGTGACTTCATAAGTGTTGAGAACCCTGTCTGTATGCTATATGCATTATAAGATATATAGTAATAGCTTTACCATAGTATTGTAATGATATATATAAAATATATAGATATCATATTTAATTATATATTAATTATACTTATCGAATGACATTTAAATTTAAAGATCATATATGCATCATAATTATACATATTATTCAGACAACATTTAAAAATTAAAATAAGATATCAAATTATATTCATTACAATAGATTATTATAATATTCACATCAATAACTTTAATTAATGACATTTAGACAGTTTTTAGCCCGAGCGAGTCCCTATAGCGGTGTCTCGCTGTCTGTGTAATAATATAGTACTGTCTGCAGAGCATCGTGCATAACCTCTGATAATTTAAGTCTAATAAATATTCTGTTTAACTAAATTTCTTTTGATTTCATTATTTTAATAAAATATAGTGATAACTAAAATTACGCATTAATTTTTCCGTCTGTCAAGGAATATTTTATTATTATACATTTATACTTATTGTATTTAAATAATATATTTAAAAA